CAAAGACTTAAGGTAGCTACAGCGTTGCAGTGAGTCAAAATAGAGTCTCAAAATCGAGTCTTGACCTGTGGTCGCAGCATTCGGCATTGACGTTCGAACGCTCCGAAACGAATGCCGACATTGTAATATCTTGGCGACGCGTACGTCATTATAACACGAATACCAAGGTAAACGGAGCAATTTGCTCGAACAAATTCGACGGTCCCGGCAACGTGCTCGCCCACGCGTCTCTCCCGACGGACCAAGCGGGGTTCGTCTCCGAGGTGCACGTCGACGGGGACGAGCCGTGGCACATTTACATCAATAAACATCCCGCGGATAGGTTCTCCCTGCATTACACGCTGACGCACGAGATCGGCCACTCTCTCGGATTGGTGCACAACAGGCGCAAAACATCGGTGATGTTCACGATACAGCCGGACCAGCAGTATTCGGAGAAGCTCGACCAAAACGACATCGCCGACATTCAACGTTTGTACGGTGAAAAAAGTACGAACGAGTCCCCGCATCGGACGCCGGCGCCGCCGCCGCCGCCGCCGCTGCCGCCATTGCCGGACCTGTGCAGCCTCGATCGCGTGAACGGGATATTGATTTTGGAAAATCGAATGTACATCTCGTACAAGCGTTACGTTTGGTCAATCGATCTGGACGGTAGGACGTACAACGGACCTTTAGCCTTTTCAAATCACATGAGCTTTCTTCACGACAATTACACGCGCGTGACCGCCGCCTATCAATCCCCGGCGATCTCGTGGTGTTCGTAGATAATTTGGTATACTTGGTTCAATATCTGGAATTTAGTCTGCGGCCAGGTTGGCCGAAAACCTTGCAAAAACTCGGATTTCCCGAAAACACGTTGATCAACGGAGCGGTGAACACCCACAGAGGACGTTCCTTCGTGGTGTTCAACGGTAACGCGGTGGGCGAGATAGACGAATGCGACAAGGACAAGAGAGTCGCCAAATTTACGCCCCTCGAGGCGACGTTTTCCGGAATACCGACCGGCCTGACGTCGATCTTCCGCTACGTCGACGGCAATCTGTACTTCACCACTTGGGCACAGTTCTACAAATTCAACGAATTTACGAGAACCGTCTCGTCGGCCGGTAAATTCGATCTGCGGATACT